TGCCTGGAGGCACTGAGAAGGGTGAGTCCTGGCCCAGGGCCTTCCCCAAGGGTTGACTCAGGAGATTGCCCCTCCCTGCCCCTTTCCATGTTTTCATCACTGACAGAGGCAGCCCAGAGCAGAGGTGAGGCGTGGGCAGGGCATCTGAACACCAGGGCTCCAATCCAGATCTTCCATCTCCAGATTAACCCGTGACTTTGGGCAAGGCACTTAATCCCTGTGGGCCCCCAGGGTTTTCTCACCTGTGAACTGAGAGGCCTGGCCCAGCTAATTTACAGGGTGGATCAGGGCTAGGAAACCCTAGTCCCTAATAAAGAACACAGGTTTCCCTAATCCAATCCCCAAGCTCAAGGTTTTGGGTGATTTGGAAACAGAGTGATGAAATAGACAGCGGACACGGCGCATGCCGGGACAAAGTGGGGGGACTTAAAGCTTATAACAGGTTGTCAATAAATATCTGTTGAATGACTGAGTGAATGAATGAAGGGTGAATGAATGAATGGCATCAGTAAGGTGTGAAGGCAGATGGCGAAGCACAGTCTGGTTTCAAGCATGTTGGGATCAGAAAGAACCCGTTCCTCAGCTCCTGGCTTAAGAGCGGTGCTGCCTCTTTGCCATGAGCCTTTAAGCCCTCATTCTCCTACCCTGTTGCCCTCAACATCCTCCCTAAAAGCTGGGACTAGACTGAGCTGAATCCCTGCCAAAGGCCTCTGGATCCCCTCTACCTCTGAAGCCCATTGCTGCCCCAGCAAGAGTCAGGGGGGCTGCACCTTCCCTCTGAGCTGCCTGTAAAAGTGTGGCCGGGGAAAAGCTAGAGGATTCCTTCTGGAACCTCCTTGCAGGGCTCAAATTGCCAAGCCCCTCTCCTTCTGTAACCTCACTGAGGATGAGAGGAAGCATGGATCGAGGGGGGACCAGCTGGGGAGGAGGGGTACCACGTGGCCACATCATGGTCCACCTGAGACCTGGAACCACCGAGCTGTCCAGGGAAACCCTAATGAGGTCCTGCAGCCTTATCTTGACTCCAGGGGCTTCTTAAAGTGGGCTGAGGTCCTCACCAGGGCCAGGCCAGGGTTCTGGGACTTAGCTCAGAGACCTCCTAGAAGGATGGACAGTGCCAGCTTCAAGTGTGGGAATCACAGCCTTCAGTCTCTCTGTTCTGGCCCTGCCCCCTCTGGTTTTTGGTTTAATGTCAGCCCTTCCGCACAAGGAGAGGACGGGGAGGGAAGAAGAGAGGGAGGCGTGATCCAAGGCTCAGGATTCCCCCACCCAAAGCCCCTTTAAGGCAGATAATTTGTGCTTCACAAAGAGATCACTGATTCTGCTGATGAAAAAACAGACAGACACACAACGACCAAACAAAACAAACAAGACACATCACAACAAGTCAAGAAGGGCAGTGAGACCAGGAGGGAGGAAGAGGAGTGGGGAGAGTGGGTCAGGTCCAGGCTGGGGTCCTCAGGGCAGGCTGGCAATGTCTCTCTCTGGAGGGGGGCCAACTGGCTTGGGGCTGCTCTCGTTGGCTTTTCCTTCAAACATCATGACTCTGGTTTGGAGATGGAGAAAAAAAAAAAAGAAAATACACAGGATTAAGACTTCTTCCCTCATCCGGGGAAAGACCATCCCAGCCCTCACATCTGCAAGGTCCTCAACAGAAAGTCCTTGCATCCACTCTCCAGCGGGATTTTCCCAGAAGCCAGTGGCAGCAGCTATGTGAAAGGGGCTGCTAGTCCCATTTTACAGAGGAGAAAACTGAGGTGCAGGGGGCAATGTGACTCCTCAGAGCCACACAGGCAGCCCGAAGCAGGATGAGACCTGTGACTTCTGGCCATGCGTTCTCCTCTAACCATGCTGCCTGGAGGAGGCAGAGCTAGGCTAGGCCATGGCTCTGCTCAAAACCCCTTCATGTCTTCAAAAACCTCCCACTGCTCCGAGGATAAAGGCTGGGGAGCAGAGAATAGGGGTTCAAAGTGTAGACTCTGGAGGGAAACTGCCCAGATTTGAATCGCAGCCCTACTCCTTCCCAGATGGTGACTCAAGCAAGACACTCATCCCACTGATGCACTGATGCTCAGTGTTTCCAACTGAGAGTGAGGATGCCAAAAGTGCTTCTGTCCTGGAGCTGTTCCAAGTGACAGTGCCCTACTCCATCTGACTTACTCCCTGGATGCGCTCTTCCAGTCTGCTGGCTTTAAATTCCATCCAGAGTGTGACAGTCCACAAACGGCTCACCTCTGGGCTCCAGATTTCCACAGCCAGCTCCCTTCTCGACCTCTCTCCCCTTGGATGTCTAAGGGCACTTCCAGTTCAGCACATCAAAAACTGAGCTCTCACTCCCTCCCTGCCCCGTCTGCTCTTCTCTCAAAGCAAACAGCACCATCACTCAGTTAACTCAGATCCCAGACTCCCTGTTTTCCTTTACACCTCACATCTGAGCATTTAAGGATTCCTTCCAGCTCTACCTCCAAAATCACTCCCAATTTCAATACCTCCTGTGCACCTGCACTACACCCTCTCCAGGCTGAGTGCCTCATTTCTTACTTGCACAAGTGCACGAGCCTCCTACTGGCCTGCCCACTGCCACTCTTGCTCCCACCACAGTCAAGGGGGCCTTTTAAAAGTCAGCTCCCTGCTTAGAGTAACTCCAATGGCATCCCTCCACATTAGCACAAAATGTGAAATCTGTACACCAGAAATTGACACAACACTGTAAACTGACTATACTTCAATAAAAACGTGTATATACAAAATGTGAAATCAGCCGTGGACTGCAAGGCCCCACATCACCTGGCCTCCTGCCCATCTCTGCAGACTCATCCTTCACTCACTGCACTCCAGGCAACCTGGCCTCTGTGCTATTCCTTGAGCATAAAACCATGGTTCTGCCACAGGGCCTTTGCACTCGCCACTTCCTTTGCCCAGAGTGCTTTTCCCCAGATCTTCACATCTCTTCACATCTCCCTCACTCAGGGCTCTGGTCAAACGTTGCCTTCTCAATGAGATCCTCTCTGCCCACTATCCCATTCATCTCTATCCATGTTGTCCACTTTATTTGTCTTTGTACTGCACTATTGCAATCTGGCATCTTGTCTTTTATTTTGTTTTGTTTTGGTCTGTCTCCTGCCATTAGAATGTAAGCTTTGTGAGGCAAGTAATTTATATGTCCTCAGCACCCAGAGTAATTCCTGACACCTAATGGTGCTCGATAAATATTTGCTGAATTAATGAATGAAAGCGAAGGAGTCAACATGCAGACTAGTGTCTGATACACAGTAAACATCCATTAAATCTTAGGTGTCATTTTAATAGCATGATCACTCTTATTGCTACCACCTGTCTCTCAGGTGCAGCATGATCTGACCTACATGGTTTTGCCACCACAACTCCTGCCTCATCCCACCCCATACTAAAAGCTCTGACCAGCCCGAACTGTGCTCATATGCAGATCACCCAACTTCCCCTTTGTAAAATGAGACAGGTATATTTTACATTTGTACCTTAGAAGAGGTGAATCTTATAGATACACACCACTATATATAAAATAGGTAAGCAAGGAGTTACTGTATATAGCACAGGAAACTATATTCAATATCTTGTAATAACCTATAATGGAAAAGAACCTGAAAAAGATAAATTTAGAGAGATACATAGTATAACTGAATCACTTTGCTGTACACCTGAAACTAACACAATATTGTAAATCAACTATACTTCAATTTTTTAAAAAGTTAATCTTATTTCATAAAAGCCAGTGAGTGTCCTCTACAGTTTGGACAAAAACTATGAGACTCTCCAAGGAATACCTCTGCTGCTCGCCAATGGGGAAGTACCCACACAGTGTGATTTTGGCCACTACGCTAGGTGTCTGCCGATCAGTCAGGTGCTGGGTTAGACTCCATCTGTGTTATATCATTAACCTGCAGGACATCACTCCACACAAGATACATATGATCTCCTCTGTCTTAGGATCAAGGAACTGAAACTCAGGGGCGTAAAGTAATTTGCCCAAGGTCGTTTCGGTAGCAAGAAATAGCATCAACATTTGAACGCCACCTCCCTTTAGAACCAGTTTTTGACTCTATCTTATGCTCACAACAACCCTGTGAAGTAGCAGAGTCTCTTTACAAATGAGGGAACTGAGGCTTGGAAAGTTTCAACAGTGCATATATTATCGTCATCATCACCATCACTGTTGCCACTTACCAAGCACTGATTCCATCAGAGGTTCTGCTACAGGTTAATTTTTCCTGAGAGATACGTATTAACGTGATCATTTGACAGATAAGAAAATCAGGTCCAGTGAAATTAAGAGCCTTGCCCAGTAGGTCACGTAGTGAGTTACATCTTGGCTGGGGTGCCTGAGCCAGGAGGCAGATCACATAGTGAATTACCTCCTGGCTGAGATGCCCGAGCCAGGGGCTTCTCCACACACCATGACTTTGCCTCCAGAGGCCCCAGGAGAGGCAGGAGGTACTCACAGCTTGAGGACCGCCGACCGTTTCCCCAGCATCATGTTCACAAAGTCTCGGTAGGAAATGGTGTCGCTGACCCCACCCGTCACCTCTGAGATCATCTTCTTCATCTCCAGGTGGGTCTTGGGGACCCCAAGCTTCTCCATCATCCTCTTTAAAGACATCAGGTCTGCCAGAGGAAAAGCAGATCTGTTAAGTGGAGACAGGATGCTGGGTCGAGTAGGGAAGCTGGCCAACTTCCCTTTGGTATCCTATGCCCAGAAGAAGCCAGGCAGGACAGCACCTCCCTGGAGACTGCAGTCAATGGCCTTTCTTCTCCAGGGAGAATGAACCCATCTCACCCTCCCTGCTCTCTTCCGAGGCAGTATGGACTAGTGGTTAGGGACATGGGCTTCTAAAGTCAGACAGACTTGGGCTGGAATCCAGCTCTGCTACTCGGCTGTGGGGCCTCGGGCAAATTACTTAAGGGGAACCCCTACTCCCACCAGTGGTTGATAAGATCATTTGGAGTGAGGATGCTCCACAAGCACCTGGCACACAGCAGGTGCCAACATAGCCTTTCTTCTTCGTTCTGTTGTTCTCTCTGCTGCCACCTGAGGTTTGGGTGAGCCATGAGCCTGGTGCTCCAGCCACCCCAGAAGCCACAGTGAGGTGGGGTTAGGGAGTCAGGCTGACCCAGGCAGAAGTCACACTCCAGGGCGCTGGGTGGCAGCTTCCCCCCACCTGCCACTCCCACCTGCCACTCCCACCCTGCAGTTCTGGGCTCCACCTTGCCGGAAGAGAGAGGGTGCCAAGAATATCCAGGAAAGCCAACAAAAGAACAAAATTCAAGAAAAACAAGGGAGGCACCGAAGTCATTACCCTAAGAAGCTGCTGCCTCTGACCTCCCAGCTCCCAAGATCTGAGGCAATTTCCTTTGGATTGTTCCATGAACAATGGGTCAGCGAAGGGTGGTGGGAGTTGGGGTGAGGGTGGGGCACGGGCCAGTTTTAGGGCTGGAGGAGTGGTGAGCCAGCTCACCCGAGAGGCAGGGCGGGCAGGACTGGTGCCAGACCCCTAGGTGCCAGGATGTCCAGGGCATTTCAAAGAAAGCCGGGCAGTGTGCTACAGGAAGAAGCGAAAGGTCTCCCACACGCTGCTGGCCAGACTCGAAACTGGCAAGACCTTTCTGGAAGGCAATTTGGCAAGATGCTTCAAAAGCTCTTGACCCAGAATGTCTACTTCCTGAGATTAACTCAAAAGAAATAATCAGCAACATGGACAAAGATTCATGCACAAGGACATTTTTCATGGGATTATCAATAATAGTTAAACTGGACATCATCTAAATGGGAGATACTAAGGCATTGGCTGAATAAATTATAGTCTGTCCCCACAATGGAATATTATGCAGCCATTAATTATATTTCCAAAAAAGTTAGTAATACCTCAAAATACTAACAAAGCATTATATTTTTAAAAAAGGGAGGTTCCCAAATGGTATAAAACAGTTTGATTAGAACAAAGAGTGGAAAAGTATAAACCAGAATATTGATCGCAGTCATTTCTGGGAGGTGGGATTGTGATGAAATATTTTTGTCTTTGTGATTTACTAGGTTTTCCAAAACTTTTTATGATAACAATGTATTAATTTGATAACCCTAAATAAAATAAATAAATAAATAAATAATAAAGGGATAAAAAATTTAAAAAGGATAAAAATATTCAAACGGGAGGAAAACGAGAGGAGACAGAGGAGGCAGAGAAATGCGGAGGGAGAACCCACCTGGAAACCACAGGCAGGGATCTGGGCCCTGGCAGCCACTTCATGACCATATGCCCCAAGCATGCCCCAAGCAAGCCCCAAGCAAGTCGTTCCACCTTTCTGAGCCTCAGTTTCCTCATCTGTACAATGGGAACAATTAAGGCGGCCTTGACCATGTCATAGAATTACTAGTGAAGGTCAAGGTATGGTCCTGAACATAAGTGCCATGGAACAGGCATTTGTCACCCCCAGCTCCTGGATGGCAGGACACAAGAAAGGTCTGTTGGAACCAATGTCTATGAAAGCCCCTTGTCAACTACAGGACAACTTACAAATGGAAGGACAGGTTTGGGGACAAAGGAAATGCCAGCTCCCTGAGCATCTCCAGCCCTAGGCAGGGGCGGCCCCTCCATCCTGAGTCTGAAAGCACCTGGAGTGGAAGGCTGAGGCACAGGTAGGGAGGTGGGTGGGGAGGGAAGCAGTAGGGAGCAGAGTTGAGGGCAGTGGACTCAGCATGGGCGGCAGACAGGCTCAAGGCCAGCTCACCTGGCCTAGCCCACTGGGGAAGCTTCAGTGGGTGCCTGTCCACTCATGAGAGCACCCCATGCCCCTCACTCATGCAGGTGGGTCAGTGGAGCTCTCTGGACCCTCCCTCGTCCCTCCATCCCCACCCCCCACAGCACACTCAAGGCCTCACTCACCAATCTCTCCCTCATTGTTCAGGTCAAACTCCATGTACTTCTCTGGAAATCACAGAGCAGAAACTGGCATTAGCTTGGAAGCAGGGTCACCTCCTGCAGGGTCCCAGTGACTCCCTTGAAGGCAACTGGTCCTCCTTATCCCACGTGGGGGCCTTGAAGTGAGCCATGTCATTTCAGCTGTTGTCTCTGGAGAAAGGCCTCGCCCAGACTGCATCCTTTGCCACAGGCGTCGTGGAGAAAGGTGCCCAGGGGGCCGCTCTGATCCTCTGCCCAGGAGGGCAGCTGCTTCCTCCCAGGCCCTGCCAGTGGGGACGGGCTGCATCTGAACAACTGCTAAGTGGCTAGAATAGATTCCCGGCTTTAGAGACACAAGTCTGCAGGGCTTGGGAAGAGCGGGTTGTGGGCAGGAACTGGTCTGTTTTCAGTGTCTCAGGTGATTCTGATGGAGAACCAGGTGTGCGGACCCCCAACTTAAGAAGTCCCTGTATTTCTGAACCTTTAGGGGGGTCATGGGCACCACCGAGAATCCGATGATCTTTCAGGAGAAATGACCTGCCCTTGGCCACAAAATGGAACACACAGCACCCAGGGGTACACAGACCCTCCCCACAAACCTCACCTAAAGACTTCGAGTTAAACCTCCCTGATCTAGGGGTCCCGGGAACCTCCAACAGTGAGGGAAATACTGCAGAGCAATGAGCTTGTATCTCCTGACAAGGCAATGTGTGCAGATGTCATGTGGCCTTGGGCAAGTCACCCCTGCCACCGGAGAGCAGGACCCTCTGGGACTTTTCTGCACCAAGCAGCCAGCATAAGAAAGGCAAGGTACTCCCAGTGACCCTCGAGGCTTCTGTGACTTTCGCGAGCATCTGCCCTCCAGCCTCTAGGGCTGCCTGTCCCACCATCCCCCCCCGGCTCCACTCCCCAGGTCTTGCTGCTCCTGGCCCGCCCCCAACCTGCTCCCGCTCCTCCTCCAGGCTTGCCACCACTCCACCTGGAATGTTCCCCCTAGGCATTCTCAGGGCCCTTTCTCATGCCTTCAGGGCCCCCCAGCCTTTCTAACTGGGCACCATCACCCCCACAAAGCCCCTACTACCATCTGACAGGCTCTCTACTTCCTTGCTCAATCTTCACCACCCCTCCCCAACTAGGACATAGGCTGCTCTGGGCAGGGGCCGTCCTATGCGTTCTCCGCTGTGTTCGTAGGCCCATTCATGGCCTGGTGCCTAGTAAGGCTCATTTGGAGAGCAAATGAGTGAACGACCTGAAACATCTACAGTCCCTTTGCTTCCAAGGTAACTTCCTGTGGTCCCAGGATGGACCCAATCCTACATCCCAAGAGAGCAGAACTTAGACCCCTGGGAACTCTGTTCCTCCTCTCAGAGCCACCTCTGAAGGGTGACCATATTGGGTTCCAGAGGGAAAGGAATGGACTGATCACTCCTCCTCTGAACAGGAAGGGGAGGTGCAGATGGACGGGCAAGGGGTGGGGGTGTCTTTATTCTAGCTCGTTTGTTCATTCATTCTTTCTTTCCTTCCTTTGTTCCCTCTTTCCTCCGTTTTTAATATATAAGACACCACTGTGTAATGGTTAAGAGCAGGGGCTTTGGAGTGAGACCAATATGAGTTCAAGCTGCAGCTCTGCTATAGGTGAGCTGAGTGATCCCGGGCAAATGACCCCACCTCTCTGAGCCTGAGCTTCTCCACTTGTAAATTAAAGCTCACACTATTTCCCTCCCGGCTGGATTGGGAGGATGCAGGGAGATCGCAATGCTAACCACAAGGTCAGCGCTCGACAGTTGCTGAGCCATTGATGTCCTGCCTAAGGACAGCTAAGCTGTAAGTGGTCCAGGGAGCACTTGGCAGGTTCTTTGCCCTGGAGCAGGGAGGATGCCCACATTGCCAAGACTCTAGGGGGGATGCAGCCTGGAGGATGTTCAAGTGGTCCCCCAGCGCGCCCAGGGCTCCCGCATCCAGGGTGCATCTCTTGGGCAGGAAAGGTGGGTCTGTTCCGCTCCTTCTGTGCGCGGCTCCTCTCCTTTCGAGCCGCTGGCTGAGACCCAAGTGCCAGAGCCCGGAACAGAGGGACCTTTATGCCGCCCCCTCTCCGCAGGGGCTCCTGGGCCCTGTTTTCTTTTCATCCCATGCTGCCGGGATTCAATGGGCAGAAACTCTGCTCCGCTGTGGCGACACAAGCGTCCATTCTCTGCAGGGGCTCCCGAGACGCTCCACCGCGGAGGGGGCGAGGCAAGGGCTGCTACAAAGAGCTGATTGTGTGCTGGGGCCCCGGGAGCGAGCAGGGCCTGGGCAGCGGCGGACAGGAGCCAACCTGAGCCCTGCTGGGCAGCCAGAGGGGAGAGAGGGGCAGGGGCAGGCCGGGGCCTGCAGGCCGGGGGTGAGGGGCCCGTGCCCCACACTGGGCACCCCATCTCGCAGCCCCCCGGGAAGAGGGGCGTTCTGGATGACACAGGGTGCAGCCTGGCCCTGTGGGGTGAGGAACCCTGGGTGTGAGGGCAGAGGGGCCCGCCCAGCTCTCCTGGGAGGGTGGGCAGCCCGCCCCAGCTCACCTTTGAAGGCTGCAAGCTTTTCTGGCAGGTCCTCTTCATCACTATACTTCTGGTCACAGAGAAACTCCTACAGAGGGGAGAGGGCAGCGCTGAGCAAGGGGGCAGTCGGCAGAGCTCACCAACACACAGGCCCCTGCCTGGTGCCTCCTCTCCTGCCAGGTGGCCGGGCCCGGCCGGGCAGAGCAGGAGGCTTCTGTGTTTGTCCTTGGCCTTCTGTCAACCCTCAGAGGCAGACCTGCAGAGTCCACCCTGGGGGTAGGAAACATGCCCAGCAGCTCGGGGTGGGGCCCGGAGTTTCTGCTCTAGCAAACTAAACACCTTCAGTCAGCCTCTGAATTATAGGCGCAGGGACCTGGGCTTCCCCACAGGGCACCCCATTCCAGGATCCATGAAGCCATGAGCCCCAAAGACAAGCCACTTGGTTCCAGCGTTAACTTCTTAGGTATGTAACCCTGAGCGAATTGATTCCTCTTTAAATCGCTATAGCTTTGTCTGCCAAATGCGTATGATGATCACAGCCTCTTCTGGAGTTTGTATGAGAATCCCAGGAGCGTGTATAAATGAATCTTGACAGCTTAGTAAACAGCAGCTGTCCTATCATTTGTCCCTCTAGCCAGAAAATAACTACACATTTCTTAAGAGGTCACTTACCCTCTTACCTGTGTCCTCACCTGTAAAATAGGATGCACCTGCCCCCTCAGATGCTTGCAGAGACTCAGATGAGTCCTTTCAGAACCAGATGGGCTGGGGAGGGGTGGAGATCGGGGTGGGACTAACAACAGGCTCCAGAATGAAGCACTGACCCCCATGGTCTCTCCAGATCTCCCAGGGGACCCAAGAGGTAGCTGCTATTATTAGTCTCATTTTGCAGATGAGGAAACTGAAGCTCCCAGAGACAGAACTTCACTCAGCTCTGTCTGATTTAGAGCCTGCATCTTTAACCTTGACACTTAAAGATGGGCAGATAGCAGGCATTCATCTGGCTTTAAAACAAAAAGCCAACAATTAGTAAGCATCCACTAGGCTGGGCGCAGTGGCGGAAATTTTACTTGCCTCGTTGCTAATCCTCAAGTGGCCCTAGAACCTCAAGCAGATGAGGAAGCAGAGGGTGTGTTCCCATCCTAGTACGGGAGTCCGCAAATCCTCTCTCTTCTCTGGACCTTGCTTTCCTCATTGGGCCAAATGGATGTGGCCATTGCTCCTCCAGTCCTTCATTCATTCAATAGTGTTTCAGGGACCACAGCGCACACTGCTCTGTTCTAGGCATCAAGGGAGCAGGTGAGGAGAGGGTGTGGAGGAAAGGGAACCCTCCTACACTGTTGGTGGGAATGTACTTGGTGCAGCCATAATGGAAAACAGTATGGAGATTCCTTAAAAAGCTAAAAATAGAGTTACCATATGATCCAGCAATCTCACTCCTGAGCATATATCCAGAGAAAACTCTAACTTGGAAAGATACATGCACTCCAATGTGCATGGCAGCACTATTTACAATAGCCAAGACATGGAAGCAACCTAAATGTCCATTGATAGATGACTGGATAAAGATGTGGTTTAGGTATACAATGGAATACCACTCAGCCATCAAAAAAAGAACAAAATAATGCCATTTGCGGCAACATGCGTGGACCTAGAGATGATCATTCCAAGTGAAGGAAGTCAGACAGAAAAAGACAAATATCATATGGTATCATTAATATGTGGAATCTTAAAAAATGGCACAAATGAACTTATATACAAACCAGAAAGACTCATAGAGAAAATAAACTTATGGTTCCCAAAGGGGAAAGGAGGGGAGGGATAAATTAGGAGTTTGGGATTTACAGATACAAACCACAATACATAAAATAGATAAGCAACAAAGTCCTACTGCAGAGATAGAGAACTGTATTCAATATCCTGCAATGATCTATGATGAAAAAGAATAAGAATATATATGTATCACTGAATCACTTGCTACACACCAGAAACGAACTCAACATTGTAAATCAATTATACTTTAATTTAAAAAAGCAGGGAAGGGGAGAAGGTTAACATCAAGGTGAGTAAGACAAGATCCTAAAATCACAGGAAGCCTGTGTTTTAAATGATGTTAAATGTTACCTAGGTCTAACTAAAACACAGTTTGAAGGCCCTATCTGCCCCTCCCCAGTCCAGTTTCTTTCCCTTCTCAGAGGTAATCATGATGCTGAACTTGAGGTTTCTACCATGGATGTTTTTCCTATTATAACTATGCCAGCTACTATTGTAAAAAGACAACTTATACATTAACTTTGAGGTGTTAAATTTTTTTTCTAATTCCAAGTTTTGGAACATTCCGCATAAATATGTACTTGAAGTTCAATAGATGATCTTTTTAATGAAAAAAAAAAGTTACCTAGGTCAATCACTCAACCTGTCTCTAAATTCCTGCTGTCATGTCCCACTAAATGACCTAGTCTGTACTTACACACCTCCTAGGACAAGGAACTCACTACCTCTCCAGCCAGTCACTGTAAGGAGAATATAGAATGGGAGAATGACAGGAATCTAAATGATGCTAAAGCACTCTGGGCTTGGATCTCAAGGGTACCCACCTCCTCAGGGACCTATCTCTCAGTGGAGACAACCCGCTGTGGGCAGTTAGTACCAGGCTCAAACGTCCGTGCTCACTAAACAACGGATAGGATTGACTACGAGACAGAATCTGATCCCTTCCAGGGTTCAAATTCCTCCATGCTCACTCAGCACCCTTTGACAGAGTAGGAGGAAGCCACCTGCCCCCGCCGCCACCGTGGTTCCCCTGGCTGGGTCGGGGGGCTCTGATTGCCCCCTTGCTTTTTGGTCAGCACTATGCTATCCCATTCAATCCTCACAGCCACTGTTAATTGACTTTGCAGGTGAGAACAGGAGGACCAGAGACGTTACTAACACGTCTAAGGTCCCCAGGAGATGCGGAAGCTCAGGGTGGGTTTGGAACCTGCGTCTGTCAGACTCCAGGG